TAAACTTTCATTTTTAGTACCAAAATAGTCCTTCTGTCAGTTAAATGGACAAGTGGCATATTAAAATGCCACAAAATCACTGGATTTTTTTTAACCTTAATTACGTGTAAATCCAGCAAAGAAACTTTTACCAGATGACATATTTTTTTACATGTCAGATTGCTTCCCCATTTTCAACTATCTCTTTTAGTGGGGCCCACATGAAAATTTGTTTTCTCTTTTTTAGTTTTAGTCGAGTTCCCCAAGGCCAAACGAAAACAAACACGAATTCAATACTGACTTCCAAAATTTGGAAGATACAGATGAAATTCAATAAAAAACAAGAGAAAAAGGAAAGGAAAAAGCCAAACTCATTTCGAGTTTTCACATGGGGCAAAATGAAACAACTTTTTTACGGAAAAAAAAAGGGATCAGAAATTTTTTCTCAACAACCAAACAAAGCAAGAAACTGAAGAAACAAAGCAAAGAAAAACTAGCTTTACCATCCTAAACTTCCAAATTGGTCAAACCAATCACCAAGAATATGAATTTCGTGCTCAGAGCTGTGGAAATGAAGTGAAATTGTGAAATTAGTGGAAGAAATGCTAGGGTTTGTTCAACGAGGAACCCAGAAACAAGGTTCTTCAAGGAACCTTGCGTAACCTAGGTTTTGGGTTCGCCAAGGAACCTAAAACTAGGATCATCAAGGATTCCTCGTGAAACCTAGAACCTAGGTTCTTCAAGGAACCTAGGAACCCATAATTGGGTTCCTCGTGGAACCTAGAACCGGGTTCCTCAACCCAGAACCTAGATTCCTCGTAAAACCCAAATCTAGGTTCCTTGAAGAAGTTCCTCGAAGAACACAGGTTCCTCGAAGAACCCAGGTTCCAGGTTCCAGGTTCCTAGTCGAACCTAGAACTGAGTTCCTCGCGGAACCTAGAACCTAGGTTCCTTGAGGAACCTAGCATCGGGTTGGGTTCCGTGAGGAACCAGGATGATAAAGAGGAAGAGGATGGTGAAGATGATGAGGAGGATGGTGAAGACAAACAGTGAGATGATGATGTTGAGGATGAAGGTGAGGATGAGGAGAAAGAAGAAGATGAAGAAATCAGAGTTAATTATGTTTAAATTCATTTAATTTATAAATTATTTTTTATTTAAATAAAAAGATAACACATGGAAAAAAAATGCCATCTCATCACTTTTTGCATGGTATGTTTTCCACGTATTTATTGATTTTTTAAAGATGTAATTTTGTGGCATTTTAACGTGCCACTTGTCCATTTAACTGGTGGAAGGATCATTTTAGTATTGAAAATGAAAGTTTAAGGATAATTTTGGTACTTTTTAAAGTTAAGGGATGATTTTGGTGCTAAATGAAAAGTTGAGGGACCAAAATAATATTTTAACCTTAAAAGAGGATTTTTACCTTGACTTTTTTTTAGTACTTTTTGTTGAAATTTACTCTTGTCAGAAGGGAATAATAACATAAACACAATGTTAGTTAGACTCAAATAAGTTGTGATGCTTATTTTAGCTATTAAAGGCATAGTTGGTGAGAGGGTCTCTAACTAAATTTTTTTTATCCCAATCAATTTATTTTTTGTTTAAATAGATTATGTTAGAATACAATTTAATTGCTAAATCTCAAAATCAAGTCTAACTGCACAATGTATATGAACATCAAATTATTTTACATTTTCACACAATTTATGAACATACTACTCCTAACTTATTATCCTATTTGGATTAAATCTGTACCTCTTATAGTTTTCATATATCAATGAAATTTTATTTCTCATAAAAAAAAAAAAAACAATCTTCATGATAGGTGACTTACCAAATATATAGCTAATTAGATTCTTTTGGTTTAGGTGCTTGAGAACACCCTATAGTTTATATCTTACATCTAATTATTGATATATAGTGTTTGAATTATAAAATAACAATTATTATTCTTTAAACATCAATTTTTAACTATAGCCGAATACCTAAACAAGGTAGAGTGTCAATCGAGTTGATAACTTTTAATTAAAATTTTGACGATGAAACTTATTAAAGAAAGTCTTGATGATGAGAGATTATTAAGCCTTAAGCTGGGAAGTAGCGGTGGCCATAAAAATTCACAATAAAAAAAATCTCAAACCGACCAAATTTATAACTAATAATTTGAGTTTGACTGAATTCTAGACTTTTAGATTAAAAATTAAATCAAACTAATCTTAAACTATTTGAACTTTAATTGTTAAGTGTAAAAATTAAAAAATCAATGACTAGAGTGAGTATAATTAAAAAATACAGTCTAGAAACATTTTATATAAATTTTTTAATAGTTTCTAAATTTGTTTTATATTTTTCTTCCAAATTAATTTATTTACTTGGGTAATTTTTAGTTTTTAAATGATTCAAATTAATAAAATAATAATTAATAAATTTAAAAATCATTAAATAAATATAGAAATAATTTTTGAATTAAAACAAAAAAACCAATCTAAATAGTTATTCTAATAAAAAAAGTCAAAATTGATAAAAACCCATTTTTCTAGTTTGGTTATTAGTTTTTAAAATTTAATAACCAAAAATTTAATTAACCATTAATTCAATGATAACCAAAAAATTGATAACCTCCTAACTAGGGTTAGGTTAGGCTCTCTCCTTAGTGCTTCCCACCTCTAATCAAGAGCCTCCTCCTCCTTCTTTTCCATCCCACACTAGCATCCTCATCATTGATCAACTTTGCCCAAGTACCACTCACCCACACACCCAATCGATTAGCAACCTTTCAACTAATCAAGCCTTATTTTGGCATCCCTATTGTGGTGCAACCATCCTTGTCGACTTGTTTCTATTGTAGAGTAGCACAAATCTGTTCTCATTGTAGTGTCACAAGTTTTCTTCAGTTTCACAAATCTAATTCCATCTAAGTCTTTTGTGTTGCCCTTCTCATGGGCAACTTATCTATACTTTTTTAGAATGTCTGATCAAAGGGGTAGTCGACATCTAGGCCAAGAAGCAAATGACCTAGGTTCTCTCTTAGGCCGAATTTGACTTTCGAAGGAGGAGCAGACGACATTATCATGAGAACATGCTTGGAATCCTTCCTTGGTTAAATTTGAATCTCTTTGTCTTATAGGAAAAATTCATACACAAAAGAGGGTTAGTCTCATAGGGCTACCAATGCTCTTCCTTCAGCATGGAAAACTAATTCTAGTGTGTAGATTAAAGAACTGAGTGAGAGAATTTTCCTATTCCAGTTTTTGAATAGCTACGATGTTGATAAATATTGCATAATCAACTTGTAATTTTGATCACTTCTTGATCATTTTGTGACATTTAAATAATTCCTTGGCGTCAAACAATTATGATATTTCAACATCTTTTTTTTTTGGGTGTGACTTTTTGGCCTTCCCTATTGGCTTCATGGTGAAATAGCAGGATACCAAATTGGAAGTAGTATAGGGAAAGTTCTAGAAGTAGATGACTCTTTCATCAAAGATTTGCAAGTTTGAATCCAACTTGAGGTAAATAATCCATTACAATGTTTTAAGAGTGTTAAAATTTCAGCAATCGAAACTCGTCAAGTTCGAATGAAATATGAAAGACTTCCAGAGTTTTGTTTCATATATGGGGCACATGGTTTTTGATTATGGGATTGGATTTAGATTGAAGGAGGCTAGAGAGAAGTTATTTCACCCTTACCGAACATGATTGCAAGTAGAGACTGAGTACTGTGGACCAAAGAATTTTGAGGAATTGGTGTTGTTTGATAGCAAGTTGAGAGAAGATAGCAATACATACTAATATTGCACAAGAATCAAATTCTTCATTGAAGGGTGAGTCATCCAATGGAAACCATAACCATATCAATGATGGCAAAGCTAGCTAGGAATTACTCCATGATGCTCAATTGGTCTACAAGGAAAAACAACTTGCTAGTACAAAAGATGGAAATGCAAGTAAAGAATTGAGGTGGTTAGTGATTCCTTGAGTTAGCAAGATTCAACCTCCATTCTAGGGGATATTCCTTGTAGTCACATAGTTAATGTGGCAAAGAGAAAAGAGCATGGTTCAAAGAAGTGGAACATGCTCGAAAGGGATATGGTCCAATCACCAAGTAAGAAGATGGAAAGGTAGGGGAAGATGGATTGGAAAAGAACAATGGTTCCTAAGGTGCTCGATGATGACAAGGCATCCAAAGTAAGAATTGATGGTTTAGATATTGCAGTTGTCCTACAGATGGAAGCCTTTCATCCATTTACAGGCTAGTAGACTACTTAGGCTTGGATAGAGAATTGTGGTGCTAAGAGACACTGCATCGCCAAGTCCTCTAATCTCCTATGCTAGGTTTGGATGGTAAAATAGATGTGCTTACCAACAACAATAATAAGTTCTAGAGTAGTTTTTCTATGTTGATACATAACTCTATTAATACCCTTATAACATATACTAATATTTAGAGATTCCCAATTCCTAGTTGTCTGATTCTGTTAAGATGTGAACAAAATAATTTAGATTATATTCACACTTATTGTAAATATTTTATACCTTACAATATTCTTTTTATATACTTTATACCTTAGAATATTCTCTTTGTAAACACCTATATATAGGTCATTGTACATACAGTATTATTAAAGAAAGCAATGAACATTTCTTCAAATACTTCTTCTTTTAACATGGTATCACAGCTAAAAGCTCCTTGTTCTTCTTTTATCATTACTTGGTTACTGAGTTGGTTTTTCAAATCTATTCTGGATTTGAAACTTTGTCGTTGGGTTCTCTTCTCTTGCAGATTGGACTGTTTATTCTCAATTCTCATGCCTTTTCTAAGGTATTTTGTTGAGTTGTAATTTCGATCTTGGCATCTATTTCTTCATATTGTTAGAGATTTTTTTAGTATTGTGAGTTCTATTGATTTTATGGTGAGTTTTGAAAGAACTATGACTCATCCTACTGCTGCAATGATTGCCAAAGAGGCAATAGACCAACCTATTGTCAACCTTGAATCTTTAAAACAGGTGATATTAAATCTTCTTAATGCCTCTACTACCTTATCTGCTACTCTAGGTACTAAACCTTGGTATTTTGATTTTAGTTGTTATAATCACATGTCTTTAACCACTACTTATTTCTCTTCAATGTCACCAAATAATTCCTTTCCTGATATTTATTTTGTTGATGGCTCCACTATGAATGTTAGTCACATCAGTAGTATTTCTACAAATTCATTGACTTTACCAAATGCTTTCTTGGTTCCAAAACTGAGTTATAATCTTTTATCTATTGGTCCGTTATGTGATCTTGGTCTTGAAATAACATTCTCTACTAATGGTTGTCGTGTGCAGGACCCAAAGATAGAACAACTTCTTAAAACTAGTTACAAGGTGAGGTGCCTGTTTGAGCTCAATTATCTGCATATACCTCATCATAAAATGGATACACCATCCTTTCCAAATGACCAATTCATCCAAACCCTACTTTGTACTGTTGAATTAGAGAATTTGCAAATTCCATATCAACAAATCTTCCAAGCCTGTGTTGCTACTAATATTTCTCCTCTTCATTTATGGCACTCACGGCTCAAACACACCTCAGTCGGTAAACTCTGTCCTCTTATCTCTCGTGGTTTATTAAAATATGTTCCAAATGAATCATTGCATTGTGTGTCATGTCAATTTGCAAAACAACCAGCTTTATCATTTACTAGTATTCATTCCCTTTCTGTTGCTGCTTCTTTTGATCTCGTGCATTCTGATGTTTGGGGTCCATCTTCGACACCTACCATGAGGGGTTCCAGGTACTTTGTGTTATTTATTGATGATCATACTCATTTTACCTAGATATATGTTATGAAAAATCACTCTGAGTTATCACAAATTTATATTGATTTTGCTACCATGGTCAAAACCCAATTCTCTAAAATTATCAAAGTTTTGAGAACTGACAATGCCACTGAATATCTTAGTACTAAACTTCAATCCTTTTTTAAAGAACAAGGTACACTGACATAATGATCTTGTCCTTACACTTCTGAACAAAAAGGGCAAGCCAAACGTAAACACAAACACATCCTTGATTCTATTTGTGCTTTACTCATTTCGTCTTCTTATCAAGAGCGATTTTGGGGTAAAGCTACTCTTATAGCTGTTTATCTCATTAATTAGATTCCATCATTGGTCATCAATAATAAGTCTTCATACGAATGTTTGCATGGTATTCTTCCTGCCTATGATCTTTTTAAGGTTTTTACTTATGCTTGTTTTGTTCTTCTTCCATCTCATGAACATAATAAGCTAGAGCCTAAAGCTCGATTATGTTGTTTTTTGGGTTATGGGATTACACATAAAGGATATCGTTGTTGGGATCTTATGTCACAAAAACTTCGAGTCTCGCGTCATGTTATCTTTTGGGAACACATTATGTTTTCCTCATTATCAAACTTCCAGGTGTCATCTTTTGATCAACCTCCACTTTTTTACTAACCCTTCTATTGAGCTTTTTCTTAGTGATTCTAATGCAGATACATTTGATGAGCTCCATGATGCCTCTCCACATGCTTCACCTGGTTCTACAGAAGATGTTTTGCTTGTTGGTAATGCAATAGACAATGCTGAGTCTTCTTCCCTTACCTTTTCTATATCACTTGTTGGATCTAACTCTGTTGATATTGAGCCTGAAAATGAGATCCTTAATCCACCTTTAAGTCATCCTACTCGGGTAAGAAATCTTCCTAGCTATTTTCATGATTATCATTGTTTTCCTGCTATTACCTTCTTACATAAGCCTCAATTCTACCAAGAGGCCTCTTCTAACCCTCTTTGGTAGCAAGCTATGTAAGATGAGTTAGAAGCTTTTGACAAAACTTATAAATGGGATTTAGTTGATCTTCATATTAGAAAGCCTCTAGTAGGTTGTAAATGGGTGTACAAGATCAAAACTTGGTCTGATGGTTCCATGGAGTGTTACAAGGCTCATTTGGTTGCTAAAGGATTTACTCAAGAATATGGGATTGATTATGAGGAAACATTTGCAACTGTTGCTCATTTTACTTCAATTCATAGTTTGATTGCTATTGCTACTGCAAAAAGATGGAAATTGTTTCATATGGATGTGAAAAATGCGTTTCTAAATGGTGATCTTGCAAAGGAAGTTTACATGAAACCACCTCCTGGACTTGAGCATCCTCCAAACAAAGTTTGTTGATTAAAGCGAGCTCTGTATAGTTTGAAACAAGCACCTCGAGCCTAGTTTGCCAAGTTTAGTACCACCATTAGTGAATTTGGTTTTACTTCTAGTCCTTATGATACTACGCTGTTCATATGCAAGACTAATCATGGTATGGTTCTACTACTTCTTTATGTTGATGACATGATCATTACTAGAGATGATATTTCAGGTATTCATGATCTTAAGCAATTTCTTAGTTATAAGTTTAAGATAAAAGGTTTTGGTGTTTTGAGCATTTTCTTAAGACCTGAGGTCACCTCTTTTGATGATGGTTATCTTTTCTCCCAAATAAAATATGCTTCTGATCTTATATCTAAAGCTGGACTCACTGACAGTAAGACTGCATCTACTCCTCTTGAGCCAAATATTCAACTTACATCCATGGATGGTTCTCCATTAGCTAATCCTACTCGCTATAGACAATTGGTTGGAAGACTGATTTATCTCACTACAACACAACCAGACATAGTTTATGTAGTTCTTGTTGTTAGCCAATTTATGGCTACGCCTCGCTCCACTTGCCATGTAGTAGTACTTCACATTATTTAGTATATTTAAGGTACCATGTTTCATGGACTTTACTTTTTTGCTCATTCATCTCTTGAACTTCGTACTTACTCTGACGCTGATTGGGCTGGAGACTCTAATGATCATAAATCCACCACTGGATATTACATTTTTCTTAGTGATTCCTTAATCTCTTGGAATAGCAAGAAGCAGACAGATCCATCACGTTCTAGCACAGAGGCTGAATATCGAGCACTTGGAGATGCCACATCAGAGTTACTTAATTTACATTGGCTACTTGAAGATATGGGTATTTCTCAACTGCCTATTACTAATCTTTATTGTGATAATCAAAGTGCCATGCAGATTGCTCATAATGATGTCTTCCATGAATGCACTAAACACATTGAGGTTGACTGTCACTTTGTTCGCCATTATATTGCACAAATGCCATATCAGAGTTACTTAATTTACGTTGGCTACTAGAAGATATGGGTATTTCTCAACCATTTACTACTAATCTTTATTGTGATAATCAAAGTACCATGCAGATTGCTCATAATGATGTCTTCCATGAATGCACTAAACACATTGAGGTTGACTGTCACTTTGTTTCCCATCATATTGCACAAGGAACTGTTCATTTAGTTTTTATTGGCTCTGTTGATCAACCAACAAACCTTTTCACCAAGACTCATTTTCTTGGACGGTTTTTCATTTTTCTTTCCGAACTCAAGTTGGTTTTATCACAACCACCTTGAGTTTGAGGAGAAATATTAAGATATGAACACAATAATTTATATTGTATTCACACTTATTGTAAATATTTTATACCTTAGAATATTCTCTTTACATACTTTATACTTTAGAATATTCTTTTTATAAACATCTATATATAAGTCATTATACATACAATATTATACAAGAAAGCAATAAACCTTTCTTCAAATACTTCTCCTTCTTTTAACAGTAAAGAACACCAAGCTTTATATGGTAGTGTTATATGGTAGTGTTATAGTTCCTTTTTAGCTTAGTTATATTCATGCACAGCCTATACAACATGGTATAATATATATTATAATTTTTTTCAATTATTAATACAATTATACTTTGTTTCAAAAAAAATTATAATCAAAATTAAACCCTACCCACCCCTACTTGGAACTTGGAAGGAGCAAAGATGCTGCAGATCAATCTTATTTTATTTATGGTGGAACTTCCCAAGACATTGGGATGTTATCGCCACAACTTAAATTATTAATGCTATATTTTTTATTTTATTAATTTTATATTTTTAATTTATTAAAAATTAAAAAATATATATATAATTTTTATAAAAAAGTATAGTATAAAAGCATAATATATAACTTAATTAAAAATATATAATATTAACTATTTACAATATAATAATAACATTAATATTCTTTTTTAAATAGATCGCATCCAACTCAATAGGTGTATCCGTCGTGATTCAAATTGTTTACTGAACTTTCCTCCTGAGTCCCACTAGAGTTTTTACATTAGTATAACTATTAACTTGAACTTTTCCTACAAAAAGCCTGTTTGGTACAACGGTTAAAATTTAGCGAATAGCGGATAGTAGGTAGCGGATAGTAGGTAGCGGATAGCGGATAGTGGATAGCGGTAGCGGATAGCCGGTGACGGTTAGCGGATAGCGGATGGCGGATGACGGATAATAGATAACGGAAAGTAAGTAGCGGATGGTAAATAGTGGATTCGATAAATATAACTGTTTGATTATATAATGGTTAGCGGTTGTTATTTAACATTAAATGACTAATAAAAACATACTTAAAAATAAATAA